ATTCCTTGCCACTAGACACTGATGCGTTCGTCTACTGGTAACCATGTGTAACCCCGTTGGAGTTTAGCGAGCATGGTCCCTTTCAATCTTTGTGCTGAGGGCAGGAAGGGATGATTGTTCCGGGAAGAGGAAGCGCTGTTTTGGGGGAGGGGGAGCAGGGAGAGCGACAGGGCGTGTGTGTCTGGAGCTCCAGCCAGCAGAGCTGCAGCAAGCAGACCCTCACAGGGTACGTCTACACTACAAACCCAAATCGATCTACATTAGGTTGACTTACAGCCACCGCAGCATTTAGTGCAGTGGGGCATGTCCACACTTTTCTGTCGGTGGTGAGCGTCCTCACCAAGAGCGCTTCCGGGGCAGTGGCAGCTGGGATCAGGGTCCGAAGCCCCCTCCTTCCTCCCTATCCACAAGGCTTGTTACCCTGTCAAAGAAAGCTGTTAGGTTGGTTTGACATCATTTGTTCTTGACAAATCCAGGCTGACCGTATGTGGTGACAGGGACACCATCATAGGACCTAACCCCATCAGCCACATCTTCAGGGGTTCGTTCACCTGCACATCTACCAATGTGATATAGTCCATCATGTGCCAGCAATGCCCCTCTGCCACGTACATTGGCCAAACCGGACAGTCTCTACGCAAAAGAATAAATGGACACAAATCTGACATCAGGAATTAGAACATTCAAAAACCAGTAGGAGAGCACTTCAGTCTCCCTGGTCACTCAATAAACAGACTTAAAAGTGGCAATTCTTCAACAACAAAAAACTTCAAGAACAGACTCCAACGAGAAACTGCAGAACTGGAATTAATTTGCAAACTGGACACCATCAAATTAGGCCTGAATAAAGACTGGGAGTGGATGGGTCATTACACAGACTAATTTCCCCATACTCATTTCCCCCTACTGTTACTCACACCTTCTTGTCAACTATTTGAAATGGGCCACTCTCATTACCTCTACAAAAGTGGTTTTTCCTCCCTTGGTATTCTACTGTTAATTGAATTGTCTCGTTAGCACTGACGCCCGCACTTGGTAAGGCAATTCCCATCTTTTCATGTACTGTGTATATATACCTGCTACTGTATTTTCCACTCCGTGCATCCGATGAAGTGGACTGTAGCCCACGAAAGCTCATGACCAGATACATTTGTTAGTCTCTAACGTGCCACAAGGACTCCTTGTTGTTATCACCTTACGATCTTCTAGGCACAGATGACTTGTGTCTGCTGATTGGGGGGAAAGGGGAGCCCACAACCCCAGAACAGCTGGAGTCACGACCCCCACAGGCAGTCCCTCCTCCTGGAAAGCAGCGACCCCTTCCTGCAGCTTCCAGCTGTTCCTCCTGCCTCTGCCACTCCCTGCCCAGCTCTCTGGCTCAGCTAACCTCAGGGAGGGCGTCTGGCCACATAGAATCATAGAATATCAGGGTTGGAAGGGACCTCAGGAGGTCATCTAGTCCAGCCCCCTGCTCAAAGCAGGACCAACACCAACTAAATCATCCCAGCCAGGGCTTTGTCAAGCAGGGCCTTAAAAACCTCTAAGGATGGAGATTCCACCACCTCCCTAGGTAACTCATTCCAGTGCTTCACCACCCTCCTGGTGAAATAGTTTTTCCTAATATCCAACCTAGACCTTCCCCACTGCAACTTGAGACCATTGCTTCTTGTTCTGTCATCTGCCACCACTGAGAACAGCCTAGCCCCATTCTCTTTGGAACCCCCCTTCAGGTAGTTGAAGGCTTCTATCAAATCCCCCCTCATTCTTCTCTTCCGCAGACTAAATAAGCCCAGTTCCCTCAGCCTCTCCTCATAAGTCATGTGCCCCAACCCCTACCCATTTTCGTTGCTCTCCGCTGGGCTCTCCTCAATTTGTCTACATCCTTTCTGTAGTTGGGGGCCCAAAACTGGACCCAATACTCCAGGTGTGGCCTCACCAGTGTCGAATAAAGGGGAATAATCACTTCCCTCTATCTGCTGGCAATGCTCCTACTAATGCAGCCCAATATGCCATTAGCCTTCTTGGCATACACCATGTGACACCCCCCCACACACACACACACTACACACACACACACACACCCATGTGTTGCCTCTGCTTCTAGGTGTTTGCAAATTGATTGTCTAAAATTTTGCCTAACGGAAAACTATTGTAAAGAAGGCTTTAGACGTATACAAAACACACACAGACTAGCCTATGTAAAAGAGTTAACACTTTATACCAGAGATAAGGTGGCTATTTTTTCCCCACCACAGACCCTTTTTTTCTTTCCTAATGTTTTTTCAATCTAAACATTGAAAATTTTGGTTTAACAACAAATAAACTTTTAAAACATTAATCAAAGGGAACAGGCCTGTAGATTTCTTTATTTACAGCATTTATGTAAAGCTAGATTTGTTTCAGGAGTTAAATTACTTTTTGGTTCTTTAAAAATGGCAAAAAGATGACCTCATAAAAGCTTTGGCTAATCTTTATATTAGGGCAGTCAAGCGATTAAAAACATGAATCGCAATGAATCGTGCAATTAATCACACTGTTAAACAATAATAGAATCCCACGTACTTACATATTTTTGGATGTTTTCTACATTTTCAAATATATTGATTTCAATTACAACACAGAATACCAAGTGT